GTTATCTCCCCTAAAGGTTACTACATAACCAAGATTAACTAAAGCCCTTACTGATAACAAATTAAATTTCAGTTTAGGTACATATAACATAGTTAAATGCTCGTTTATACAAGAACAATATGCAGTACCTTCACCAGACGCTTTCATCTTCCATCCATTTGCCAATGATACATTTTGTTTACTCGTGGACATCTTTAGAAACCTCTATCTTTAGTAATACACTGCAATGCTCCGCTATGAACAACCCACAAATCATGGTTTTACAGTTGAATTGCTAGACATAGCTAAACTAACATTCTTCTTAGTCTTCTGGTGATTACCAGTATTCTGTTGTTTTCTCTTCTCACAGAATCTATCTATATGTCCCCTAGCCCCACAAGAAAAACATTTCCTAACAGTATAGGCAGTTGAAGAAAATCCTCTTCTTGTGGTTGTTCCTTCCTCAGCTGGTCCTTACCCAGTCATCTTCTTGCTTCTTCTAACAACCTTCCAGTTATGTCAGTCAATGTCAGTTCATCTTTGGTCAAGACTTCCAGTGAAGATACGTGATCATCATAACTTTCATCCAATGAGGAAAGAATGGTGTAAATTTGATGCAGTTCTGAAAATATCAGTTCCTTTTCATGTAGCTCTTCAAAAGTTCTTTTCATAAAGTTCAAACGAGTTAACATATCTCCACCTGTCAGAAGACGTGCTCTAAACAGTTTACATGTAAGATGCATGTGTGCACCTACACTATCACGAACATAAATACTCTTCAAATTCTCCCAACACCTAGCAGCAGACTCTTCTCCATGAATATGGACTAGCTGCTGGTCACTCCAATTATACAAAGAGCTTGTTCGTTGTTCCGTTTAAAGTCAGCAAGCTTTTTGGCATCGTCCTCACTATTTGGATCCTAAGCATTTACATCCGGTGGATTCTGAACTGCACTCTATAACCCTTCTCTACGCAGAAATAGACTGCACTTCATAGACCAGGAAACATAGTTTGTTCCATTCAACTGAGTTATCAGTGATAGACTTGTTGACGTGTCTTGTGCCATCTTTACCAGGACAGTAACCCACAATTAAACAGTAAACAGCTGTCTGTATACGGGACTGTGTATTCACACTAACTCTCAGTTATCTGAGCCTTGTATGGCCTAGGCCCATAAGCAGTGTTGAGGTAATTCCCCATTAGGAGAATGAGTGCACACAAGGAAACGTAGTGAGAATGGTATTGAACAACACACGACCAGCACAGAGATACACTAAATAGTAAAATGTAGGTTTTACTTCCAGTAAACGGTTAAGCAAAGTCCAACAAGCAGTCCAAGTCATACCCGGTTAAAGCAGTCAGTATTCAGTCCAAGGATAATCCAAAATCAAGGTCCAGTATCATAAACAGTTCAGTAAATACTCACAGAAATCCAAGATCAGCAACAGTCAATGGAGAAAATGCAAGAACGAAGAACATCGACCATCAGAACATCTAGCAACTAGCAACAACAGAACAACCCAGGTTTCTGGCTCCATCTTATAGCCATTTGAGGAACCATATCCAATTACAATTTTAGCATTCCCTTAAAGAGACAGTATTAAATGTCTATTCTGGTTTATATATTTCCAACCCAACTGTTAGATGACTATTCCTAACATTATCCATTGTTCAAAGGAAGTTGCTTCTTCCAGTGTTAGGAAAGGCACCTGACACGTTCCTTCTCAGTGTGCTGAGAGAGAATCCAAGGAATGGAGATAGATAGATAGATAGATAGATAGATAGATAGATAGATAGATAGATAGATAGATAGATATAAATAAAATAGATAAATGAACTAGTACCAAAACCTTGCAATTATTTATATTGAATGAGTGTTGTGGTTATGTAGGATTTTTTTTTTTAAAAAAAGGTATATGCTGAATTATAAATGTGAAATGATAGCAACAAAATTATGCTGTTTGCAGAAGCCTTCTATAAAAATTCAGATTGTAAGCAGATGACGTACAAATGTGGAAAGTAGTGTCACCAATTAATATGACTCCTTAGCAATTAACCATCTATGTTGTAAAGTATACTTGAGATGTTTAATTTGTATATATAAAAGTACAAACTTCATAACTATGATTCAATATTGTTGCAATGTTGCTTGGATCCTCTAGAAGTTCCATGAATAGGAAACTGCATATGAAACTCGTTTTTTATGTCAACTCCATCTTGTATATGGCAGTAACTCATGGTTTTACTCATGTCAGCATGCTAGAATTTGTGATATTGCAATGGTTTCAACTTTATGTATGAAGACTAAGACATTTTCTAAAGTTGGACATACAAACCAGAAATGATGTGAAATTAGTTTATTGGCATACAATAAAGTTGGGTAGTGTATGGATAATCAAATGATAAACACCTGGGACAAAAAAATTATCATCATCTGCTTGATTTATCCTAAGAATTAGGAACAAGTACACAAGATGTAATATTAGATATATTAAACATATCTGAGAATTAAAGGAATACATACCAATTTTTCTTCAGTACAAATAATTTCCCCTTTCAATGTTTCTCTAAAAAAATTATTTTAAAAGTTCCTATCTCAAATTGTTTCAAGTGCTCAAATAAAAGTTGTAATAGTAGCTATCTCCGTATGTGCTCTTGGGTTATTTTGACTGCCTGGTATTTCACACACCTGTACATGTCTCATTTCTGACATTGTGAGTCTAAATGAAATGGAGAAAGTACCAGATCAACTGTTTTCAAAATATTTTTGAAATCAGGATCAAATTATAAAGGGGAAGGCAGAAGGCAATCTGCACTAAAAAAATGTAACTTTCTGACATTACTCTCACTAAGAGAACTTAGAACTCTGGGCCAATTGACATATATTTCTACAAATGATGGTAGGAACTATAACTGAAATATACTGTACAGATCTGAAGACCTACAGTTTGGAAAGTTGTATCATATTTGCTTCTGTTTTATTTCTCAAATGATCCAAATATCCCTCCTCCACTTTTTCAGCCTAAGGGCAAAGAAACTATAAGGTACCCTGGATAATACCATATGTACTCTGTCAGTGTCCTATGCAGATAAAAGATCTTCACGCACATATCGATACAAATGCTCCCTAAAATTACTTATTCCTTTGACAGGATTCTGGAAACTTTAGATTACTGTTTTCCTGAAAGTAAGACCTGGCCTGATTTTTTGGGGGGGGTGGGGGTGGGTGGGCCTAATATAAGCCCTGCCCCCAAAATAAGGGGATGGGTGTGGTCAGCACGAGAGGGAGCAAGCACGGGGGAGCCGATGTAACCTGCCAGCTCCTTGGTGCAGCGCAAATACAGTTAATTCTGAGCATGGAGGTAGAGCCCCGGATCCATCTTGATTCAGATTTGGGGCTGCCACAAGGGTAACTTGGAATGAGAGAAGTGAGAACGAAGGATAGCCACAACAACATTATTTCACCAGAGCTCAAGTCGAGTTGCTGGAGTGTGGAGGGGAGTGACTAAATTTGATGCAAATTCAGAATGGAGGTGGATTGGAGAGTGTGACTTGAGGGTCATCAGTAAGGGACTGGGTGTGAATTTTAGTGTAGCAGGGGAAAAACACGGGAATTCAGATTCAGGTTTTCCCCAATATGACGTCTCTAATAAATTCTTGGATGGACTTTGTCTCTGAGTGCTAAATTTGGGATGGAGAGTTTGATTGAAATGCTGACAGGCGGAGGAAGAAGACAGGCAATCTTCACATGCTGCACAGCTGCCTGACTCATGTAGTGGCACCAGTAGCAGGTTGAGGCATGAGGAATGGGGGAGGCAGGCAATCTTGATGTCCCATACAGATGCCTGTTTGGCGCTGCCACACGCAAGCCAAGAGATGGTGGGACCGAGTGGGCAGCGCATTGGGATTGCCTCTGTCTCTGCCTGGCTCTGCTGTGCATTTTTTGCCCAGAGGGAGATGAAGCTTGGTCTGCTTGCAAAGGGACACGATGAAATCATTTCATTTCAAATGGTCCCCTTTGCAAGCACACAAAGCTTTGAGTCTGTCATTTCTCCATCCTGGAAAATGTTTGGTAGAGTGAAAAAGGAACAAGAGAGCAAGTGAGGGAGCGAAAAAGGGCAGAAAGGAGACCAAAGTGGCTAGGAAATAAGGAGGGTAATCCAGTTGCCCATAGATTGATTAGCCTGAGGAGGGGTGCGATTTGTGGCATCCTGCCCCACCGCTGGTAAGCCAGGGCCAGGGAATTCTTGACACTTCCCCAGGAATGTCAAGGAGGGTAGTAAAAGCAGTGCCGCAATGAAGATTTGGGTTGTCAGATGAGGGGCAGATGGAGATAATCCATTCCAGCGCTCACCCTATTTTGTTTAGGGGCATCCTTTGGGAAAGAATAATGGCTTGATATACCAGTTTAATGTGTAGCATGTGTTGTGTCTCCTTTGCAGAAGGGAAGAGGGGAAAAAGGCCTGTTCCGATCAGTGCGTACCGGTACCAGCGTAGTGCAGAGGGTGGCAAAAGAGACAGAAAAAGCCTGATTCCTGTCTTTTCACTTTTCACTACCGGTAAGTGTAAACGTGTGTGTGTGTGTGCATGTACCCGTGGTGGTGGGAAGTGCAGGGAGAAGAGTGCAATTTGAAGGTTGTCAGCAAATACACACACAACCTGGCTAGTGAAAGCAATGGCTGCATATTTTCAGGACAGCGAAGATACAGCAATGGCTGTGTATTTTCAGGGCAGTGAGAAGACTCAGGAAGAGCTCTGTCCCCCCTACCCCCCCCACGTTTACATTTAGCGAAAAGTGAAAACCACCATCCTCCAGCTGCTTTCCAGTTCCATTCTCCGCTGCCGCATGCAGGGTAAAAAAAGTAGTCTGAGGGACTATGATAAAAAAAATGAGGTCAGATATTCCAACTTCGCAATAATTTTTTCCCCCCATAAGTTGGAAGGTCTGAACTATTTTTTTTACCATAGTCCCACAAACTATTTTTCTTAACCTGCATGCGGCAGTGGAGAACGGATCTGGAAAGCAGGTTAGTGAAGGGTTGTGGCTGCCCCGGGGACCTGTGAAGGGAGGGAGAGAGGGGGGGGAGAGGGAGGGAGAGAGAGAGAGAGAGAGAGAGAGAGAGAGAGAGAGAGAGAGAGCATATCACTGCCCTGGTATAACTCTCCAAGGTTGGATCATCCCTCTCTCTCTCTCTCCCACGCCACCTATTTCTCTCTCTGCAGTGGCAACACTTCAGTGCCTGGCTGACAGGGCGCTTCTCACCCATGCTACCTGCTGGCCCAGTTTCTGCTGAGACACTTCTTGGCTGTGCTGGCCGACACGTAGCTGCCCATGCTGCTGCCAGCCTCGCAGGGGTCCTTCGCCTGGAGTTCTTCAGGCCCTAGTGGGCGCTGCACTCTCTTGCTGGCTATGTGAGGCAAGTGTGGGGCTGCCCCGGTCACCTTCAGCATCTGCCTCACCTGTAGCAGCTCTGCAGCAACCTAGCCTTCCATCCAGCCCAGGCCACCATCAAACCCCACCTCTCTCCAGTAGCCTCCACTACATCCCGCTGGAGCTACCCCATGCACAGCCAGAGAGCTGTAGCGCCTACCAGAGCTCAAGAGCACCAGGCTTAGTGTAGCTGTAAGCCCGGCGCCTACAGCATCCAAAAGGCATGCAAGGCCGGCACTCACCAGCCCAAAGGCGGCAGGCAAAGTGGCACAGACAGCCTGGTTCCACCAGTGGCTGCTCACGAAAAGGCCCTAGCAGTCTGGTGATGGTCCAGACGTTTTCGATTTGGGACAACTCACCCCATGCCAGGCAGGAGCAGCCCAGCAGGGTGGCTGAGAGCAGCAACGCCAGAAGAACAAAGAGTCCCTGCGAGGCTAGCAGCAGCATGGGCATCTGCTTGGTGGCCAGCATGGTGCCCACCACAGCCAAGAAGTGTCCTAGCAATAGCTGGGCCAGCAGGCAGGGCAGGTAGCGGCCAGAGTGTGTCAAGAATGGCCAATTGTAGCTGTGGGCAAGCAGACAGTGGGATGGACAGGGACAGGGTAGGGCCAGTGGGAGCTGCGCTCCTACTCCCGTTGGTCCCTGCACTCACCCCCTCCTGCACTTGAAATATATAAGACCTCCCCCCAAAATAAACTTGAGTGTTTATTTTCAAGCCCAAAAGAAAATAAGACCAGGTCTTATATTTGGGGAAACATGGTAGCTGATCAATAGTGATGCCAATAGGAAGCTATAGGACTAATGCTTTTTTCTATATGCTTAAGATGGCAAGAATGGCAAAGCAGATGTTCATCTAATGGGTAGCAACGATGACCATCTTCATCATTGAGTTCCATTCCACAATCCTATGTAAAAGAGAAGGAAACAGAATGGTGTTTAATACACTCATATTGCTCCATGCTGCTCCATGTAAATAACTGTCCATTCATGTTAAAAGCAAATGATTAAAATAAGCTACTTCCTTAAAAGTACTTTCTTGCAGAACAATTATTTGATAGATCCTTTCCTAATATTAAACATGTAGTCTCTATTCATATCAAGCTAGTTGATTCATTATATAAGAGAATCTGAGCACCAGGCATTTCTATTCTGGAGAACTGGCTAAATTCAAATTTTAATTTCATTAAAACATATAACCATTTGTGATAGCTAATTCAATATATCCACAATGGTCTCTGTGTGTAAATATCACAAGGACTTTACAGTCAGGCTTTAAAATTTGAGGCAGGGGGAAGGAGAGAAAAAGGAACAATATTAGTAATGAAGCATTTTATCAGCAGAACTACCCTCAAAACAACGCTATAGAGCACTGCACACCAGAACAACTAGACAAAAGGACAGCTTTTTTCCCCCGAACGCCCTCACTCTGCTAAACAAATAATTCCTTCAACATTGTCCAACTATTTACAAAGTCTGCATTACTATTAATCTTCTCATCATTCCTTATCACCCATCCCCTCCCACTTGTGACTGTATGACTGTAACTTTGCCGCTTGTATCCTTACAATTTATATTGACTGTTTCCTAGTATGATTTGATTCAGTAGTGGGATTCAAATTTTTTTACTACCAGTTCTGTGGGCCTGGCTTGGTGGGTGTGGCGGGGAAGGATACTGTAAAATCTCCAGTCAGAGGTGGGTATTTGCTGGTTCTCCGAACTACTCAAAACTTCCGCTACCGGTTCTCCAGAACTGGGCAGAACCTGCTGAATACCACCTCTGATTTGATTGCTTATTGTACCCTATGACTATTATTAAGTGTTGTACCTGATGATTCTTGACTTGACGAATGTATCTTTTCTTTTATGTACACTGAAAGCATTTGCACCAAGACAAATTTCTTGTGTGTCCAATCACATTTGGCCAATAAAGAATTCAATTCAATTCTATTCTATTCTGATGACTGAAATCTGACTTTCTAGCCATAAACTTTCAACTAGAAGATAGTGCTTACAGATAGTCCTTGACTTACAAGTGGTTACTTAGTGACCATTCAAAATTACAACAGATCCCCCAAAAATATTTATGACCAATTGCCAAAGGTCTGACAGCCACCACTTTGGTCACAAGCCCCCATTTTGGACACTTGGTAATCAGCCTTCAGTTACTGCTAATTGCAGTGACCACCATTTGACATTTTTTGCTGAAAACTGGTGTTTACTTCTGGTTTTCACCAAAAACACCCCACAATGAACAATGGCTGTCCATCTCCCTCGAGGAGTTATAATTTAATTTAAACATAAAATGTTATAGCTTTTTGATTAAAATCGTACTCCAGAGTCTAATACAGTAGATGAAGGAACAAGGAAGCCCTATTTTCAACCTATGCTCTGAAATCATTATATGCATTAAACAAAGTTTGCTGAGGAGCAAAAATGACACTCTTGAGTGCTCTATTTAAAATCTACTTTCCCATGCTGGATTTCCAGCACTTGCAGTGTAAGAATTTTCAAGTAGGATATGTACGATTCCTACAAATTATTAGCTTTGTTTAATATAGTTTTGTTTAAGAACATTGAACCTACCTCACAGCGGTAACATTCTATGTGGTAATCCTTGTCCATTGACACCACACGGATAGTCTCATCAGATCCCTGTAAAAGTTTATTTGTTTAAAGGAGACATACTGAAAGAGTATCACATAGTCCTAATTCCTATGAAACATTCTTTTGGCAAAAGTAAAATATGCACCAGCATACTTATTGCTATATACATCAAACATGTATTTAAAAATACTATAATTTCAAAGTTATGTCAGTGGCTCCTAAGGAAACAAATTAAATGGCTAATTCTTCATGATATTGTTTAAACAAGAGTTAAAATTTAATATATTTAAGCATTCTGGGTTACCTACCTAAGTTCTCTTTCATTTATATCAGATGATTAAATATTAATTAGCTGCTGAGTGAGCTTTTAGGAATTAACTCATGTTAATGAAAAAAATCTATATACTATTAAAAGCCTTTTATAAGTCTTATTCAGAAAATGAAAGGGCATCCACTCTTATTTATCCTACTTTACAAAACCACACAAGGTACTCATTTTGCCTTTTAAAAGTATACTGCAATTGAAACTTGTGGTATATTAATCTCATATGAAGCATTATGCAAATATAGAAGAGTCTTTTACTTTACCTCAAACACTACAATATGTCTTAATATTATCAAACAATTTAGCACTTCAAGCATGGTGCTCTGAAATCAAATCAAAAGAAAAAGGAACTAAACAGGAAAGAAACTCTTGCAGTTTCCCAGAAGATAAATTATGTGTAGGATCTCATAAAGAGGGAAAATTTTAAAAAATCTCAAATTCAAAACTTCAAAAAGATGAAAACAATCTTCCCATATTTATCATCCTGAAAATCACATAAAATCTTTTTCCAACTTCTTAAAAGATAAAAGCCGCTGGATACCACCTCTTATGAAAATGTATGAAATGGAACATTATCAGATTTTTGACAACTGTATTATAAACAACTATAATGAATACAAGGTGAAGGTGATTTGCCAATTCTTAGTTATCATCAATTTTTTATGTCCACCAATTCACAATGGCTTTTCATATTTGCATTAAAGTTTAGAATACAGTAAGAGGCACTTTCCCAACTTGAGGGATAGGAAATTGCATTATAAAAATGATATGGATTTATTTAAAAGCACTTCAACAAAGTATAATATAAAGAAATATCATTACTTACTTCAGTTGGCAAAATAGGAAGGCCACAAGCTGCACATTTTGGTGCCAAAACTCTTCACAAAAATAAAAAATAAAATTTTTTAAAGATAAAAGACAATCTAAGATTCAATCAGTTTTTAAATTGCATCAGTTGGTTGTTTTTTAATGTTATTTTTGATGGCATTTAAAATTCTATACTAATTCTCAGATTTTCTTCTAAAACTGCAACCTAATCATTTCCTCTCTGTCATATTTCTGCATATTCCTCTATACCAGGGATGTCAAACTCATGGCCTGTGGGCCGAATGCGTCACGTGCTGGCCCCCATCTGGTTTAGCAAAGGGGAAATAAGTCCCAATATGTCACGTAACGCCGCCATGACGACATGAGTTTGATACCCTATATAAAAATCTGCATTTGCAAGAAAACTTGCATTATAAAACTGAACTATAACCTATTTTACTTTTTTTTAAATTTGAGAGGAGCATTACAAAATAGCACAGTATAATAGCAACTTATAGATTATAGATTAACAGAGTTGGAAGGGATCTTGTAGGTCATCTGATCCAACCCCCTGCCCAGGCAGGAAACCCTACACCATTTCTGACAAATGGCAGTGCAATTTCTTCTTGAAAGTCTCAAGTGATGAAGCTCCCACAACTTCCGAAGGCAAGCTGTTCCATTGGTTGATTGTGTTGTTGGTTGACTTAAAATGGTATCGGTCATAATACCATTATTAGATAGAAGAATAAGGTATTCTTCTACCTCACTCTGCTGAAACTGTAGAAGTCTACAAGTCGAGGAAATCAGACAAATGTAGAGTTGAAAGTGGATATTCTACCATGCTAAAGATATCAGGAAATAATGGTTGTAATTCTCATTGGCTATTCTGGCTATGGGTAAAGGATGTTGAAGCCTGATATTGTCTACTGGGCCACAGTTTTATTACTCCAGTCTTAACAATGGAAATAAATAGGGAAAAATTCTTCATTTTTCTATCATGTAATTGTACATTCCTGTTCAGTGTCTCTCTGAAAACTTCATTTTCCCCCATTTTTTGTTATATTTGTTTTAAAGGCATCAAAGCTTTAGATTTATTTATCCAATTTATATAGATGCCCATCTCAACAAATGACTCTGGGCAGCAAACAGAGTTAAAATAAAATAAAATTATTATAAATATTATAAATACACAGTGATCAAGCAACATCAACTCAAAGCACTAACATAACTAGAAGCAGGCCCCTGCACATCCTCAAGAGTTCCAAGCCCTGGGACAGAATCTAACTTTTAGAGTCCTACAAAATCTCAGCAGGGTTGGGATCAACCTGATCTTCAAAGGTAGAATGATCCACAGCTATAGCAAAAAAAAAAAAAAAAAGGATTCGTCTTCCAGGCTCCACCAATCAATGTTTTTTGAATTTATCAGAATATCAGCTACATCATAGCTATAAAATAGAAACAAGTTATATATTACTGTTCAATCCATGGCCTCCCTTACTTATATTAGGATAAAGAATATCATTTGTATTCACGCTCGTTGCTTTACTTCAATACAATTTCTCCATGAATGAAATTGCAATAAATAGTTGTATTTGTATTTTACATTCTGTTATTTCTGATGTTTCCTCATGTTCTAATACAGGGATCAGCAACCCATGACTCTGGAGCCGCACGTGGCTCTTTTATCTCTCTGGTGCAGTTCGGCAAAATGGCTGGTCCCACCACTGGCTGGCCCTGGCCCTGGCCTCTCCCTCTGAGTCACTCCTCGCTTTGGGCTCAGAGCTGTAAGCCACATCCCGGAAGCACTGCGGTGGAGCTGATTCTCTGGTGCCTCATCTCTTGCTGGGTCTCGTGGGAGCTTCTTCTGGCCCTTGTTGGTGTTGGGTTGCCTCAGTTGCTCAGGGAGACGCGCAACCTGCTCTCTATCCTGAGACACTGGCCCGACCCGGTCGCAGCACTGCTGTTGCCACCTACATGGCCTGCCTGCTGCTCTCACAGCGCCTTGCGCAGCACAGTGAAATTTAACATGCTTCACAATGGGGGAAATAGGGTCCCCTCCTTCTTCTTAAGCCCATTATGATGTGGAGCCACAATGCAACCTTGCCCCACTCGCCCCTGGCAACAGCATCATCATCATCTGCAGCACGTAATGCCAGTGTCTCAGGGCAGAGAGCAGGTCTCATGTCTCCCTGAGTGACCGAGGCATGTCCAGCACTGACAAGGGCCGGAAGTAGCCACCCGCCATTTCCTGCTGTAGTCTGTCAGGCAGCAAGATCTAGCTAGAGATGAGGCACTGGAGAATCAGAATCAGAGACACACACAAGAGAGATAGAGGACACACACACACACACACACAGGCAGAGAAACAGAGACAAAGACAGAGACACAGAGAGAGACACAGGCAAACACACACACACACACAAAGAGAGAGACAGAGAGAGAGAAGGAGTTAGACACATACACACAGAAACAGAGAGAGACCAAGAGAAAAAGGTGAACAACACAGCTGAGGCCGGATGTGGCAAGATGTGGTTGGGGGGGGAGGGGTGATTGTTAATTTCATAAATGCAACACACTCTCATTTTTTATACATCGCATAAAAGTAAAAAAACAATATCTGCAGTGTTATCTTCATTTTAGATGCCAAAAGGGTTTTGTGCCTCCCAGTGTTTTCTTTTCTGCAGGAAACGGATCCAAATGGCGCTTTGAATGTTTAAGGTTCAGACCCGTTCTAATGTTTTTCTTATGCTGTGTTTTAAATGAAAGAATTTCAGGGCAAAAATCTAATATATGTCAAAGATACAATAAATAATAAAAATGCTTGATAATTCTGTTGGCTATTTTTAATTAAAACTGCTTCTAATATTGAATTTCAAGTAGTTGTAGCAAAAGAAAATAATTATACATAAATAACATGGCATGTAAATGTGGTAAAAACAAGTGAAATATTTGAGGGGGGCTTGTTCACTTTTCTAGTGAATTTGTAGTAATGAAAAAACAGTAATAACACTTATTTCTAGAGAAAGAATATGATGAAAATGAACATCCTTGGTATTTTGACAAACTTCCCCATGCACTCATTTTTTTTTCCGGTTTCAAACTAAAGTTTATTTAAGTTTCATATATTTAAAACATTTAAAAAGAAACAAACAAACATATAAACAAATATATATATACATATATACATTTTGCAGCAGGTATTGAGCATTGTTTACATTTTTCTTTTCTTTTTTTCTTTTACCCCATAACATTGACGTGATCTACCTTGTTACAATACCTTCCTCATTCTTTTAATGTTTTAATTTCACAGAATGCTTTATGATTAAACCCACGTCCTTCATAGTTTCATAACTTATTCAGTTGTCAAATGTTGCTTTTTCTTTAACCATTCATACCAACAGTTCCAAACTTTGTAATATTCACTATCTTTGTTGTTTTTTAGTAATTTGGTTAGGCTGTCCATCTCTGCACACTCGTGAATTTTTTTAACGACCATCTCCTCTGAAGGGACAATAGACAGTTTCCAATTTTAAACATAACTTATTCTGGCTGCCGTTATAATGTGCAAGATTAAATATTGATACTTTTTTCTATTTTTGAGTCTATTATACCCAGCAAAAAGGTTTCTGGTTCAAGTTTTACTTCTTGTTTAGTTATATTTAGAATCCAATTTTTGATATTTTTCCAAAACTTCTGAGCAAATGGACAGGTCCACCACATATGAAAGTATGTTCCTTGGATGCAGTTACACTTCCAACAGTTTGGGGGGAGGTTTGAGAACATCTTAAACAGTCTCGCAGGTGGCACGTGCCAACGATACACCATTTTATAGAGATTCTCTTTGTACGAGGCTGACACAGTTAGTTTGTAATTTATTTCCCAAATATGTTCCCACTTGTCTAATTCAATACCGTGGCCCACATTTTTTGCCCAAATTATCATACACTTTTGACTTTCTTCTTTTAATTTAAAACCAATAGATATTTATATATTCTACTAATCAATTTCCTTTCCTCTCCATGCCAAATTTTATCTAATTCTTCATAGGTCATATTAAAACCAAATTGTTCTTTATCTTTTATGGGCTAACCATCTCCCTGGCTTATTTGCATTTTCAAAATAATTTTGTTTTCCTAATTTAACTTTTCGGGCCAGGTCTTCCTGCATACTTAAATTTATCTTATGTTTTACCAAATCTATTTCTTTACTAGTGTTTTGATTATTCAGATCAATTTGTCTACTTACTTCTAAATCTTTAAGTTTCTCTCTCCACACATTTTGTTGTTGCCTTTTTTCTTTATTCTTTTTAATACTATAGCCAATAGTTAAACCTCTCACGTAAGCTTTTGTTGTATCCCAGAGATTTTGAAGGGACGTATGTTCTCTTATTTATTTAAAGAAATATTTTCAATTCTTTTCTCACCATTTCAATATATTCGTTATCTTTTAGTATACTATTATTAAATGTCCATCTTCCAATCATTCTCTTTCCTTTCCACTTAATTTGAATAGGGTTATGATCAGCCCGTACATTTGGCAAAATCTCTATATTTTCAATGTTTTCCATTAAGCCTGGGTCCATCCATATCTGATCTATTCTAGACCAAGAGTGATGGGGATTGGAAAAGAAAGTATATTGCTTTTTAGTTCGATATAGTTCTCTCCACACATCCTCCAAGTTTAATTCCCTTACCATGTTATTAAAAGAAGATGGGAATAGTCTCCTTTTATTTTTTGGAACTTTTATAGTCTTTGTCCTTGTCTGAAACAGCATTTAAATCTCCTACAATACATACATTTGTGTATTCATTTTCTACTATCTTGTGATGGAGTTTATTATAGAATTCTTTTTGATTTACATTCGGGGCATATACTGTAACTAACAAAATCTTTTTCTGGTTTAATATTATTTCTATAAATAACATTCTCCCTTCATCATCCTTATATACTTGCTTGTGTTGCAGCCAATCTTTTATATATACTACGATGCCCCTTTTTCTTTGATTTGAAAGGGCCCAATACATTTTTCCCAAATTGGTATCCTTTAGGAGGTCTGCCTGTTTATCTATGATGTGTACTTCTTGTATCCATTATATCTGCATTTTGTTTTTTGAGTTTTTCAAATGACTGTTTTATTTTTAATGTTGAGTTTAAACCATTGATATTAACTGAAAATAGGGCGATTTCTCTGTTCGTGTTACTGTCTGTGTAGAGCGTTTTTTGTTTCTTACCTTGTTCTGGGTTCTCTTGTACTTGGTCTGTTGTCCTCATCTTCTCTAAGTTTCTGAGATTCTGACTGTGGTGCAAGTTCTTTCTCTTCAGAGAGTTGTTCTTCCTGACTTCTTGTATTTAAATCTTCTCCACTTTCACGTTCTTCCTCAGATATTGGTCCCAGATATTGTTCGTGAAATTGATGCACTTTCTCTATTGTATCCATTTTATATTTTTTATCCTGCTATGTTACTAGGAGCCCTTCTGGAGTGAGCCATCTGAACGATATACCATTCTTAATTAAATGAGATGACAAAAACTGGTAGCCCCTTCTTTGCTCCCTAACTCTCCTAGGTATTTGCTTCAACGTTACCACTTCATGATCTTTATATATCAGTGGCTCGTCTCTGGTCTTGCTGTATAACATGTCTCGTATCGACTTTCTCGTGAATCTGATGTGGATTTCTCGGAGTAGTCTGTGTCTTTGGGTGTAATGGGTATATACTCTGTAGACCTCATCGATGTCATTCTCAATTTTCTGTTTGTCTTTCTGTAGGGCTGTTGCTATCAAATTCGCCATTATTTCATGTAGATCTTCCTTTTTATCTTCAACAACGTTCTGGAATCTCAAATAAAATGATGCTTTTTCTAATTCTACATGCACCACAGAATCCCGAAGTTCACAATATAAGACTTTCCAATTTTGTTCCGATTCCTCTAATCTCTTTTCCACCACCTCAGTTCTTGCCCCTACTGTGTTAGAAATTGTTCATTTTTTGTCATTGTCTCCTGCATCTTTCCGATTTTGCTATCCAAATTTTGTATCTCATTCTTCACTCCTCCTATTTTCGTTCTCATTTCTAATTTCATGTCTTTATGATTCCTCGCTATCAGTTCATGGGTTTTTACCATCATTTCCTGCATCATAGCAAGCGTTGACTGTACTACCTCCAAACTTTGGGCGGAACTTGTCTTTTCTGCCAGTAACATTGTGTCAATCGATCTCTGTCCCAGAGGTGAAGATGTCACTGTTGTAGGTTTCTTCCCTGATTTTACATTTGTAGTTATTGTTGCCATTTTAACTATTTTGTAGAAGCTCTCTCCAATCCACCATCAACTATCCCATGCACACATTTTTATCAAACACCAATAATATTTTAAATCTTTATTACTTACCGGGACACAAATTATATAGATTGCAATTTTTCAAATTTAATTTTTTTCTTACTTGTGGTAATCTCGGACACAGTAGATTTTGTTCTCACTGTCTATTGTGAATGGCACTCCATCAAGACATTCATTACAAATCACACAGCGGAAACAGCCTGGATGGTATGACTTCCCCAAAGCTTGCAAAATCTACAATAAGAAATTCAAAATTATCTTCTTTTTTAAAAAAGCATGTAGTTTTAAAATGCATTTCTAAAAATGCAAAGGACTGAATGAATGTTAATCTAAATTGTTGTCATGTTAGAAGTATGTGAATAACAGGTTGCACCATAAAACTGAGCAATGTTTTCTAATATTTGGTAATCAACTGGGATTTATATTGGTGAAAACTCTTTGTTTAATTGTAGTTTTATTATATGGTAATATTTTTAGTATACAACACCACAGCAAACAGTAGCCACTAAAAGAAACCTCCATATTGGGGTAAACATGTAAACCAATTATGAATCTTACATAGCTCTTTATCTTACTGGACCTTAATTTATGATACAATAGATAACTTCCAAGAATAATTTCAAATCAACCATTCAAATTAATTTTTAAGATAATAAAAGCCATACTATCAATGAATGCCAAGAATAAAATACAAAATGATGCAATATCTTTAAGTGTCAATTCTTTTCTGCATACATGTTGCTTTATTGGATGCTGCTTGTGAGGGTTAGAATCTATGGGAGAAACGAACATCTAAATTTGTTAAGAAAGCAGTATGTTGAATTGTACTGATTCATTTGGAAGGAACATTTTGCTTGAGTTAAGAAGGTTTTCCAAATTAATGTACTAACTACTTTATTTACTTTATTTTAATATAAACATATTACATACATGCATACAGACGGGAGGTTGAATAACTAGCCTGTGGTGCAACCGGAACAATCTGGAACTGAACACACTCAAAACCGTAGAAAGTAGTAGACTTAGGAGAAATTCTCCCATACTACCACCTCTTACAATACTAGACAACACAGTATCAACAGTAGAGACCTTCAAATTTCTAGGTTCTATCATATCTCAAGACCTAAAATGGACACCTAACATCAAAAACGTCATCAAAAAAGCACAACAAAGAATGTTCTTTCTGTGCCAACTCAAAAAGCTCAAACTTCCCAAGGAGCTGCTGATATAGTTCTACATAGGATTCTGTCATCTGCACCTCTAGAACTGTCTGGTTTGGTTCTGCAATCCAACAAGACAGGCACAGACTTCAGATAATAATTAGGACTACAGAAAAAAACAATTACTACCAACCTGCCTTCAATCCTTCAAAAAGACCCCTCTTTTTTCCTTTAAAACAACTTTTTTCTTGTCTGTAATTTTTCCTTATGTAATTCAGTAAATAACTAAAAATTCTATGTTATTCTGACTAGGAATTTTAAAACAAGGTACTAAATTTAGCTATACTGCTAAGGATTACTGGTGGCTGGGTGATTTTAAAACAATGACTCTCTCAGTCCACTGTTTTGGTCAATGACCACAATCCTCTGGTTGCAGTCATCCATCTGCTAATGTAATTGTGCACATTAACAGATGGCGTCCTAGATTAAAGAGAGCAGGATGCCTCAGGATGAGTTGAGGAAACCTTGGGAGGCTCTCCTCAGTAACTAAAAATCCTTCCTGTCCAAATCCAAGCAGAATTTTTCATCCCAATAGATAAACATTCACATGTGGCCTTCCTCAGCCAACTGAGCCATCCCATGCTCCTTATCTTAGTCTGCTTTCTATTCTCTGCTTCAATTTCAGATCCTTCTCATGATCTGGCAGAAGGGTATGGCTTTGGACAGAGCTCAGATCCTGAAAATATCAGATATTTCTCCACCCACAAGACAAAGTCAGCTTTTGCCCAGGCATTGAAGGAAATATGTTTGGTGGAGACAGGGGTTGGATCCTACCGGTTTGGTCCGGTTCTATAGAACTGGTAGCTCCAAAGAGCAGCTGACACTGAACTGGTTCGCTGGGATGAGGTTTTGGTCTGCTGTTTGGCCCTCCCACCCACCCGCTCTAGGCTGTTTGGCCCTCCCACCCACCCGCTCTAGGCTGTCCTTTAGTGACTGCATTTTCCTCCTCAGCTGCTTTGCGCGGCACAGCTGAGTGCAGCTCATCAGTTGGAGAAGGTAAATGCTTGCCAGAGCAGGTAGCGCGCATGCACGTGTAGCGCACGTTTGACGCACATTCATGCGCTCCCCAAACTGATTGTTATGCCGGTCGGATCCCACTTCTGGGTGGAGACCAAAAACATTTCCTTCAATGCCTGGGCAAAGTTGACATCATCTTGTGGGGTAGAGAAATATCTGACATCTTCAGGATCTTTAGGATCTGAGTTCTGTTTCTCCATTCTGTCGAAGGAGTTCAGCTCGCCTCGGCAGGCAAATCTCAGCCAGCCCTCCTGAGACAAGGAGCAAGGAGCAAGGAGCAACAGCTTGCAATCTTTTCTGCTGAATTCCCCATTGACTTTCTGGAGATGATAGAAGATGAAAGAATAGAAATGGCAATTCTGTCTGCAGGCTGTTTGAAAACCAGTTGTAAGTATGAACTGGTCACCAAGTAACCAAATCACAGCCATGTGACATCAGGGTGGGGTCAGTGTGATGTTTCATTTAGGTAAGAAGCTGTTGCAATTATGAGCAGTTGTTAAACAACTGATTGTAAGTTGAGGACTACCTGTACTACTAGTTTATTGCATTTTCTCTTAGTTGCTTACATCAATATACTGTATTTAGAAGTTTTTCCTGCTTGCTTTACTTCTTGAAAAAAGTAATCTTATAAGCTAAATTGTAATACTGAATTGCTAGTGCATTATTTTACACTGTTCTTTTCCCCTATTGGTTTTCTCTATAAATAAAATGTCCCTTACCATATCCATGATCAAATGACCACATATGTAGCATCGATCAGCTGACTGTTGAAAGCCTGAATACTGCAGTTAAAAACAAAAACAAAATTGTTTAAGTATAAAGATGTTTTACTTTTTAACAGGAAATCATACCAACAAATGAGTCTCTTCCAGCACCTTGAATCTTAAAAGCCATTCTCATTTACTTGCTTTTAAAAGCTTCCTAAATGCTAATATAGTGTAGCAATTAAGCAAGTGAAATCCCCAGTTAAAATCTCAGCACAATATAAACATTATTGATCTCTTTTCCAAAAATTTGGGGTAAACAATGCTGAGTAATCTGAGTTGTTAACTAGAAACATCAATTCTCAGAAAATATACCTAAAACCCAAACATTTTAGTAGACATACAGGCATCTGGTAAAAAATCCAATGATTAAAAAAAATGATAAAACATTCTTGAAGATATCACAATGCAAATCCCGCCTTTCCATACTTGCATCTTGATATCAGATGTCCCTATGTAAATCACATGGATTGCATCGTAGCACATAGGATCAGAAATAGTAGTGAGACAAGAAAATACACGCCACATTTGGTGTTTCTGTTAAGTATTTTGTATTCTTACGGGAACATATGAACAACCATCTAGATTGTATCTTATGCACCCGTAGCTCTAAGAATGTTAATTATCAATAAATGTCACAGTACCACACTTATGAAAAATAAGTCATCATTACTGATTGCTTCATTTAATCTTATTTTTAGAGACACTTGATCAGAGGAAGTTGATGAGAAGTGGTTTTTTTAACTCTTTACATTACTTTTAAAATAAAGTAAGCTCCAGCCTGTAACTACTGAAAGACATACAACCTAGTTCATAAGCAACATTACATTTGTACTATCATTTTATGTTAAATAAGGATCCTCTCACTTCTGAGAAAAATAATTTTTTGACCATGATGAGGGTCATGGAAAGGACTGCAGCACACTTACTAGAAAGTCTTCTTCACAAAACACCTTCCCATTAACAAAGTAAAAGGCCTTCCCTCTCAATTTTCGGCCTAGAGAATAACAAAAATATAAAATTAAGTGTTAAAAATGAATAATTCATATAGAATGTAGAAATAAAATATGTTTTCATATATATTCTGGGGCAAAGCAAACAACTCATCTATTTATGTCATGGGAAAAAAGATGTACTGAAAAATTATGCGACCAAGTACATGTACAAGTGGTTCTTTAAATAAGATCCAAATGAGCTTTACCCTCATTCTGTTTTTCATGAAGCTTTGCTCCAGTATAATATGGGTCTCCAATTTACCTTCTGTACAAAATTGGGTGAATGTACTATTACAACTGTAATGAATAGAAAATAACTCCCCATTCTGTTAACCACATAATGAACCCCACATTAGTATACACATCTGAAGGCACAGCAATATTTTAGATTCTAAAGATGAAACTTTATTGCTACTCTAACTGCCTTTCTGGTTGCAGAATAGCATAACTGTGCTATAAATATTTAGAATGAAATTTAGATTCTGAATAAGAATAATATTATTTAATGCCAATCTGCAACCAAGATCAATATTTATTGTTTTATAACCCATATCCCATTACTCCTTCTTTTCACTTCCTCAGTGAGTAGTTTCTTTAATGGAAAAGTTTAGAACAGAGTATGATCAGCTTACCAAGACACATCTCAGTAGTTACTCAATAGTCTAATATTTGAAAATAAGAGTCAATAAGAGCAGAATATCCACATTCTACTCCCTATACTAGCTGAAGGAAAACTTTAATTTTAGCTATTAATACCTGAAGTTCTTGCTTCAGGTAAGGGGTACACCCCCCAAAACAGGTTGTTAGGAATTGATAGTCACCTAACAGTTGGGTTGGAAATATATAAACCAGGATAGACATTTAATACTGTCTCTTTAAGGGAATGCTAAAATTGTAATTGGGTGTGGTTCCTCAAACGGCCATAAGATGGAGCCAGAAACCTGGTTTCCTAGTTGTTAGTTGCTAGATGTTCTGATGGTTGATGTTCTTGGTTCCTGCATTTTTCCATATTGACTGTTGCTGATCATTGTTCTTCTTGGATTGCTGTGAGTCTATTTACTGAACTATTTATGATACTGGACTTTGATTTTGGATTATCCCTGGACTGAATACTGTTTTAACCGTGTATGACGTGGACTGCTTGCTGGACTTTGCTTAACCGTTTACTGGAAGTAAAACCTACATTTTACTATTCAGTGTATCTGTGTACTGGTTGTGTGTTATTCAACATCACTCTCACTACGTTTCCGAGTGCACTCATTCTCCTCACGGGGAATACCTCAACACTAGTTATGGGCCCAGGCTCAGATAACTGAGAGTTAGTGTGAATACACATTACCATAAACAGACAGCTGTTTACTGTTTAATTGTGGGCTACTGTCCTGGTAAAGATAGCACAAGACACGTCAACAAGTTTATCACTGATAACTCAGTTGTATGGAACAAACTATGTTTCCTGGTCAATGAAGTGCAGTCTACTTCTGTGTAGAGAAGGGTTATGGAATGCAGTTCAGAATCCACCGGATGTAAATGCTTGGGATCCAAATAGTGAGGACGATGCCAAAAAGCTTGCTGACTTTAAACAGAACGAACGAGCTCTTTGTATAATTGGACTGACACTGAGTGACCAGCAGCTAATCCATATTCATGGAGAAGAGTCTACTGCTAGGTGTTGGGAGAATTTGAAGAGTATTTATGTTCGTGACAGTATAGGTGCACACACTATATATTTAAATGAACTTTTAGGTATAAAAACAAATGATAATACATCTGATTGCTGGAGATTGAAAAAGAGTCTTTATGGCTTAAAGCAATCAGGATATCAATGGAACCAGTGAAGGAATTAACAAATATAGGTTTTGTAGCTGGCATGGCTGATCCATGTTTATTTAAAATGGAAAGTGATGGTGTAATTTCATTGTTGCTATTGTTCACTGATGACATAGCATTAATCACCAAAACTGAACAAGAAGCTACTGAAATAATTTCACTATTAGAAAAGAAATTTAAAATAAAACAGTTACAAGAAATTAAACAATATCTTGGTTTAAAAATAGATAAAACTAGGGGAGGATACATAATCTCACAGGCAGGTAAAATTAACCAGTTACTGAAGAATTTAAAAATGGAACTTTGTAAACCGGCTAAAACACCAATGAGCCAGGTGTTTAGCCGTAGTAATGTTCAAAGTCCTGTTTTTGATAAGAACATTTATCAGTACTTGATTGGTAGTTTATCTTATCTCAGTAATTGGTCAAGGCCAAATATAGCATACTGTGTTAACCAATTAGCGAGATTTAACGCTGAGCCAAATGAAAGGTACTGGCAAGCTGCTAAGAGTGTGTTAAGATATCTGAAACAAATGATGCATTATGCATTATATTTGGAGCCTAAGGATGAACTGCATATGCCAATGCAAGTTTTGCTACAGACATAAATACACATAAATCTACATCAAGTACTGTTAGTACATCAAGTATTTTTAGGAAAGGTGTTGATTGGATGGAGGTCTATTCGACAGAATCATCTAAGTTTATCAACAATGGAGGCTGAATTCTCGTGTTTATCTCTATTATGTACAGTTTGTTATAAGCAACTATTGATTGATATGGGAATTGATGTAACAGATTCTATTGTTGTATATGAAGACAACCAATCAGCGATTCAGATGGCTTCCAATCTTGCTGTGAAAACAAGATCAAAACACAGATCTAAAATATCGTAAGGTGAGACAATGTGTGCAAAGTAAAATGATTAAACTGGAGTACTGCATGTCAGAGAATAACATTGCAGATCATTTTAATAAAGCCCAAGGCTCTGTAAAGCATAAAGCTTGCTGTGAGAATTATGGACTTTAACTGTAAGGTGTTTTTTTTTTTGAAAATTTTATTTGGGTTTTCACAAAAAAAACCATAATACAAATAAAACATCTTTTTTTGAAAATAGCATGGTCCCGGGTTACACTTCTTCATACAGACGCAAACTCAATTTCATGCTCACTTTTATGTTCTATTCCACATCTTATTACTGTTTTACATTTTCTACATAGTTTTTCTCCTCTCTTAATTTTCTCAATTTTATTTTAATTATTTCATCTCAATTCAAATCATTATATTTATACTTTTGTCTGTCCTGTTTCAATTTCATATTTTCTTTTCTCATTAAACAAATTTTCTCCTGTAGTTACTAATTGGAGTATGACACCGTTATATCTTTTAATTTTATCCATTCAACTCTTATTTAAGCTTCAATATATACCTTGAGGTTATAACATTCAATATAATACATAACTTCCAATCAAATTCTGCTTGGTACATTCTTAAAATACACACTATATTCTTAAAAAGTGATTATAAATATATGTAATTAAAACACTCATTCCATTCCAATTCAGTTCTATCATTAATATTCATTAAAGTCTTAACATCTTTAACATTTCTTTTCAATTAAATATCATACTTCCTTGGGAACACTTATAAGCTTTCCGTAATTAATTTTTCCCCTATTTCTCTTCCCTTATATTTTATAAAACATTAAATAATTAAAATGTTTCCATCCTTTCCTAATTCAATTCTCTCATTCATTTTATTTCCTTTATTTATTAACAAACATTTCACTAGATTACAATAACTATTTTATCCATCATTTTAATCATACTTTTAATCATTTCATATTTTCTAAAATTATTTCTATTTCTAATATAACAATACTATCTTATGTACCTTTGCAGAATCCCTTTTTCAATTAAATTTTCACCCATTATCTCTAAATAGGCCCTGTTTCTCCAAATCTTGTTTCTGTCCTTTATAACTTTTCCTTTCCTTCTTTCCTCTCTTTCTTCTCCCTCCCCTTTTACCCCCTTGTCTCTCTACTTGTAATTCTCTCTTCTGTATTCCCCTCTTCTGTTGCTTTCTAATATTATACTTATTTTTCAAACTATTCTTCTTTTTCTTGGTTGTTTTTTCAAATCTTAATTTTTTCATTCTCTTTCCCCCCTTTCCTTTTTTCCCCCACATAAAATTATTTGTTCATTAAAGATGGCTTCTTCGTATCAATCTTCTTGTTCTGCAGGCATTTCTTGTTGTTTCTCATAGTTCCAGTAGTTCTCCATTTCTAAGAATTGAAATACAAAGCCAAAAGAACCTCTCCCTTCTTGTGCATCTTCTTTGTACTTTTTAAGTTCCATTTTCAGTTCTTCTAAAAGTAGAACAACCACTTTTAAACAACCACCCGATTGATTTTAGTCATTCAAATGCAATAACCAAAAATCCAGAGATCACCAAATAATCCAAATTTTCCCAAGATGTTTCTTCATGCTTCTTTTTTCACTTTCTCTTCCTGGGGTTCTACTATTTTGTGGCCAAGTTGCAGTTAAAATGTATCTTTTAGAAGTCTTGTTGAGGTTTTACTGTAAATTCCTTTTAATTCCAGGCAGTCTCCTCCCCTTTTTCCAGATCCTGCCCTTTTATTCTTTTTCTCTCCTTTCCTGCTTTTAAAAGGTTTTAAGTATCCAGAAATCTTTATTATCCCTTTGACATTTTATTTTCAGCTTAAATGCCTATTGATGTCAAGGTGGATTTTTTTTCAATTTCTTATTTAAATCTCTTAGCTGTTAGTATAGGGAAAGGGAGAGAAGAAGAAAAACCAAATCCTTTCCCCTTTCTCTCTCCTTCGCTGCTTCATAGTCTTCTTTGGGAACAATGTTACTTTTTTTTTAGTTTAAATTCCAGGGTACCTTAGTTTTTGCTTTTGCAGTTTAACCCGGTCAACCAAAACCTCTTCTTATCTTCCTCCTGCACATTCTTTTCCGGTCGATTTCTTCTTTGAGGTGGCCATTTCTGACCACCGCTGCAACCGCCTTCGAGAAAGGGAGTAATGGCCAGCTGAAGAGAAGAGATACGGCTCTCCTCAACCCTGCTGGCAGTCTCTCCCCTCTTCACCACCTCTACGGGGTGGCTTAGCCCTGAAACCAGCCGGCTCGGGACGCTCCAGTGGCAAGCAC